AGGAGACAGTTACCTACAAAGGAGTGCCCATAAGACTGTCAGCTGATTTCTCAAGAGTCCTTACAGGCAAGAAGGGACTGGAAAGAAGTATTCCAAGTCATGAAAGACAAGGACCTACATCCAAGACTGCTTTATCCAGCAAAGCTTTCATTTAGAATGGAAGGGCAGATAAAGTGCTTCTCAGATAAGGTCAAGTTGAAGGAGTTCATCATCACCAAGCCCTTATTTTATGAAATGTTGAAGGGACTTATCTAAGAAAAAGAAGTTTAAAAAACATGAACAGTGAAAGGACAACAAACTCACAGTTATTAACAACCACACCTAAAACAAAAGCAAACTAAGAGGATAGCTAGATCAGGAGCAGAACCATAGAAATGAAGATCACATGGAGGGATAGCAACAGAGAAGTGGGAGAAGGAGAAGGGGGGAGAAGGTACAGAGAATAAGTAGCATAGATGGTAGGTAGACAGGGGAGGGCAAGAGTAGTGTGGGAAATGTAGAAGCTAAAGTGTAGAAGCTAAAGAACTTATGACACATGGACATGAACTAAAGGGGGGAGTGTGGGTGAGAGGGGGTGCAGGGTGGAGGGGAATGAAGGGGAGAAATGGGACAACTGTAATAGCATAATCAATAAAATATATTTTTAAAAATTCCATTTATAAAAGAAAATGATAACAGTAATTGTTATTTTGAAAGACCTGAGGTTTTAGTGGGCCTTAATCCTAACCATCTGCTGTGGCTTCTAAGAAGAAAATTAGCACAATTTTTGGCTGAATTAAAATGAGTGAAGTGTCTGAATCAAAGGAGGGACTGGTCAATGGCCAGTATTCAGCACTCCTTAGACTACATGTGGGCCACTGCGTTCAGTTTGGGGAACAATACCTTAAGAACGCTTCTGACAAACCAGAGACCAAATAAACACACACAAAAAGGGTAGAGAACTAGAAACAGCCTGCTTGACAGTGAATTCAGGAATGTCGTGCTTGTAGAACTGAAGAAAGAATATGACATAGGTGTGTGTCTACTTATTTGTAATGTCTAGCACCAGGGAAAATAACTAAAGCTATAGACAAGTGTCAGAAAGAAGATGTGAAGTCAGTCTGAGGGAGCATTTTCTCGTGATATGAACTGTCTCACATATACTGCACATGAGATGTGTAATGAAGCATAGAGCTTTGTTTCTACAAGTCAAACAACGCTTGACACCATCTGTCAAATGTCTAGAGATTCCTCTGTCAGATGAGAAGATGAACTCATGTGACACTAAGATCCCTTTTATATTTAAGATCCTAAGAAAATCTGTCATCTGAGAAGAGATTCAAAAATTTTTAATTATTTTCAAAGTTTAGAGAGGATTATGTTCTTCATTTAAAGAAGGTCCATCACAACTAAAACTAAATTTTAAAAAAATTCAAAACCAGGGCATGGTTACCCATCTTTTATAAGAACCAAAGAAAATTTTCTATAAATTACCTTAATCCTGTAGTTATTTTCATAATAGTATCTTAAACACAGTGGTGTCCACGTGATCATTAACTTGATAGATTAGTCTGTGTTTCAGGAATACCTATATTTAATAATACAAAGAAGCACTTGTAAGTGGCGTGAGTCTGTGATTTTGATTTTCTCATGTACTTTCTACCTTTTGTAATATAAAAAGCAAAATATTCATTCTAGCTTTGTAACCTGTTTTTTTTTCCTATGCAGAGTCACCTAATAAAGAGTTCACCAGTATTCAGTTTGAACTAAATCTAAATTTAGGTCTAAGATTCCTTGTGTATTTACTTTCATTCAGTCCAGAAATGATAAAAATGTAAAAATGTACACATTGTTCATGATCAAGGAAGCATACGGTACATACTTGTTTTTCAAGTTCATGGGCTTTCTGCTTCAGCAGGGTATGTATAGCACTGTGAGCCATGAAGTTTTATTGCCTCACATTTCAAATTACTCTTTCATTACCTCTTTGGTAACTATTCTCCTCATTTCACACTTTAGTTCTAAGTCCATTTTATTCTAAGTATGCTAAAGAATTAATTGTTACATCAGTCTCTTGTAATCTTCCTTAATTATTTCTATGTGTATACCCTTTTGCCTTTTGAAGTATTATCTTAACATTTTTAAATCAATGGCAAACAGTATTATATTCACAGCACTAGCTGGGTGTGTTACATTTTAAAGGTTAAACAAATACAAAATCTGGTGACTGCAGCACTCACCTCAGTGACACTAAAACCAGAGATGAAAAAGATGGAAAGTGTATGAAGTCTCTCTTTTCTTCTCCTTCTCCCTCTTATCTTTTATTCTTTGTCCTGAGGGTGGTTGTGATGACGAGATATATGTATATATATATGCATGCCTGGGGGGGGGGAGAAAGAGGAAAGAAGAAGAAAAATAAGGAGAGAAACTAGAGGAAAACAGGAATTGGATGATACAACTGTTGAAATGTATTTAGCTAACATTGAATTAAAGCAAAAACACAGAAGAGGCATATAGGGTTGAAACTGGAGAGTGAGAAATAGATCTTTTGGACAGATTCATGGATTTCAAGTTTGCAATACTCTAACAGTCCACATGTATTTCTTCAGAATTACATGTACAACCTACCATAATACTCAGTGGCACACTCACTGCATTTCCAAGTAGGCAAGGTATATTTAAGTTACAGACCCTACCACATTTCCCCATTCTCTGGTCTCCCTTTTTCTAAACTCAAAACTCTGCAGACTCACATTGAACTCTGGTGTGCCAAAAATATTTTGGTCCTCCCTGCCATTTCCTTTATTCTTGCTCCAAATCAAATCTTACTCCCAGATTATACAAGTAGGTAGTTGGCCTGGTTAACTGAGAACAATAATCAGATAGGAATGAGTCTTCATTTCTGTTCAAAAGAAATTAACAAAGGAGGTGGTTAGCTGTAGTGGGTCTCTGTGTGCATTTTCTGGTTCTTGAGTAAGTAAGTAAGTAGCTTTCCTCCACATTCCAAAAGAAACCCCAGAGCAATTAAAACACATTAATCCAACAGGCAAAATATATATGGGAACACTTTTTTACTTTTTTAAAGATTTTATTCATTTATTTTTAGAGGGGGAGGGAAGGAGAGAGGGAGAGAAATCTCAATGTACAGTTGCCTCTTGTGTGTCCCCCACTGGGAAATGGCCTGCAACCCACGCATGTGCCCTGACTGGGAATGGAACCGTGATCCCTTAGTTCACAGGCCCACGCTCAATCTACTGATCTACACCAGCCAGGGCAGGAGCACTCTTTTAAACTGGGGTACGTATGTAAGTCCTTTCTGGTCTAGTTAGATGAACCCTAATACACTGCTTCCATCAATCCAGAAATATCATCAGTGTTAATGCCTCCTACCACTTCTCTCCACACTTTTGCAAAAAACATAACTCACAGCAGAATCAGGTATTGCTTGGGGGAGCGAAGAGCAGAAACAGTGAGCATGGAGGGCTCAACAGCCAGTAGATCTTAAACAAAGAATATAAAATAAAGCAAAAAAAAATAAAATGTAGATTCTTTAAAAAATTTGTTGAGTTATAATCCATTTCTATCATTATTCATTCATGATGTTCAAATTGTCCCACACTAAGTGGAGCCACATTCAAGCTAGCTCCTATTTCCTTTTTTTCAGAAATAATTACCATTTATTATTAATTTAGATATATTCTTTTAACCTTTTTTCTAGACTATGTGTTCATATATTTTAAATTTTTTTCCAGTTACAGTTTACACTAAATATTAGTTTGTATTAGTTTCGGATGTACAGCATAGTGGTTAGACAATCATATACTTCACAAAGTGTTCCCTCTGATACTTCCAGTATCCCATTGGCACTATTAATTACAACATTATTAACTATATTTCTTATGCTGTACTTTATATCCCCATGTCCCATTTCTTTTTGACATGCCCCAATCGTTCTTTGAAAACCTCGCTTTCTTGCACAAGACCTTTCAAGGGCATTTAATATTTTCTCTTTCTCTGGCTTGGAATCAGCCATTTCTCCAAAGAGTTTGATTCCGTTCGTTGGAGAATGGCATTTAGAAACCAAGATCTGGAGGCACATAATATATTTCAAAATATTAAGTAACATTGTAACTGTTTCCTTGGGTCACCATATGGAAAACTGCTGTGATGTGCACTCCTAACTCTAGCTAGCATCACCTGAGTGACCTTGGCAATTCCCTTTATTCCCTGGAGCTTGTTTCCTCATCCGAAAAGAAATCAGAATCGGTAAGTAAGTATTTCTTAACCTTTTCGGGGTTAACGACACGTTTGGGAATCTGATTAAAAAAACAAAACAACGAACGAACAAACAAAAACCCCTATAGCCCCAACTCCCCAGAGACAAGCTCAAGTAAGCAAAAATTTACATACATTTTAGAGGGGTTGGGGCTTCGAACCCAAGTTGAGGTTATAGATCCCTGCATTAAGCTCTCTAGGGTCTCTTTAACGCTTTCTGTTAATCTATAAGCGACCGCGATGCTGTCAGAATGATTCCTCGGAAATATCAAACAGTGAAGGGATTCATACAGAAACAAAGTGGAAAAGGGATACAAAGAAAGGAGCCTGTGAGCGAGCAACGCATTGCTCAGCCACAGTTCTCTGCCGGTGCCAAATTTAGGACTCCCTGTAGACACAGGTGAGAGGTTTTGGCGGGAAGTTCCAGGGGTTGGTCGGTGAACGCGGGAGCTGGGCACCGGTCGCTGCACCCATCCGCTCCGTCCACCAGGGCTCGCTCTTAGTCTTCAGCTGGGAGGCCGAGGTACTGGGAAGACCTGGGTCACCCCCGCCCGTGGTAGCGGCCAGCGGCAGGCTGAGCGTTGACACCCGGAGCCCGGAAGGAACGCGAAGTTCGGGCCCCGCCCGTCTTCCCTCGCTTCCTCCCTCCCGCCGCGACGTCGGCGCTGCTCCGGTCGCCATGGTGACCAATCTAGGCCCGGTCCCGCCCCCGCCCCCTGCCGCGGCCCCCTGACGTCGGTGCACGTCAGCAGCGGCGCGCGCCTGGCTGGGCCCTGCAGAGCTGGAGGGACGAAGCGGAGGAGCTTGCCCAGCGGCATTCGCCCGAGCTCCGGCGCGCTGCCCGCCCGCCAGCCCGCGCTCCAGTCCCCCGAGTCTAGCAGCGGGGCCCAGCATGGTCATGGCGGATGGCCCGAGGCACTTGCAGCGCGGGCCGGTCCGGGTGGGGTTCTACGACATCGAGGGCACGCTGGGCAAGGGCAACTTCGCGGTTGTGAAGCTGGGGCGGCACCGGATCACCAAGACGGAGGTGCGGCCCGGGGCCCGGCTGGAGCGTCCGAGGCGAGGGTTCGGGAGAGAAACTGGTTACCGAGAGGGGCGGCTGCAGCGGGGAGACCCGAGAGGCCGGGTCACTAGCTGAAGCGCGAGGGCCTGGGACTGTGAGGACCTAGGAGGTGCAGGAGATGGGTGAGCTTCGAGGGGGTTGGGGCCCGGTCATTTGGACCCGAGTGTCGTCGGATTGGAACCTCGACCAGCCGGGGCTTTGCCTTCCCTGCGCCACCCCCGGTGGCCACGCGGAATTTCGTCCAGAGCCTTCCACCCTGGCCGTGACCTGGTCTGTGGCCTCCGGTCGGGAGCCCAAGTTCCGCGTCTTCCCTGTATTCAGCTGGGGGTGGGGTAGGAGGGGAAGTCTCGGTGCTTCTGGGCTGCGCGGTGAGAGAAGTCGCCAGCCCCTTGGTGGGGACAGCCCGCGCTCGGACTCCGGAGATGGGGCATCGCGTGTTCCCCGTGACCTCAGCGCCCCCCACGGCCCCAGGAGGAAGGGACCCGCTTGCCTGAGAATGCGCGGACGGCCTCTGTCCATCTGCTCTCCCTCCTTTCGCCCCACAATATCTTCGATTTGGTGTTAGGCTAGCTTGATCTCGTGCCTGAGGCATTTTCATCTAACACTCCAGACAATGGAACTGGTTAAAATGGTCATCTATGCATTTGCACGGTTGGTGGGCTGGTCTTTCTTATCCTGGGTTGCCCCTTTACCAGGTGTGCCTTCTGGCTGTGAAGACGCGTTCCTTAATCCGCAGCGATCAGGGCTACTCTTAAAGCCCTCAACTGCTTCCCGACAGTTATTTCAGCATCCCCCCCTCTCCTTTGCCCATTCTAATGCACCGCATGTATTTTTTCTCACCAGTCTCGGTTCTTACCTACCCACCCCCAACCCTTTCCTTCCACTGCCTCGAGCTCCTCTCCTCAGGGTCTCTTTTAGACGTGCAAAATTAAATGCTTCAGAAAAAGCAGGAGAAACAAAACTATTATTTGGAATAAAACCTTGTGTTTTTTACGTACTCTATTCTGCGTCTTTGTAGTTCTGGAATTGCATTCTTTTTCAGTTTGTTTTTTCCAGCTTTCACCCTTTTCAGTTTTTCCTTATATTAATTTGGATGTGCTAAAGTTGGAATGTGGAATAACATAGGGCCTTTTTACTTTCCAGAAGAGTAGTGTATGGTGAAGGGCATTTTGAAGTTCGAGTGATTTTCATAGCTGTTTTTCTTACAAGTTTTGCTTAACTTTGTTTTGTGGAGTCCATTTTCAAAAAAGAAGGGGTGTGAAATTGTGGCATCTTCATTTTTTACTCTCCCTTACTGATCCTGAAGTAGTCCAAATAGAACATTTTTTAGCATAAGGACCAAAATCACAGGTTTTCTTCTCAACAAATGTCTCAGTGTTAGCAATTTAGATTGTTTGTAATGCTAAATAATGTGATATAATGAGACTATTTAACCTGATCCCAGCATTTTTTTAAATGAACAAATTGGTTCATTTTTTCCTCTTCCAAGGAACCATGGCCTAATGATACAACATTTCTTTCCCCTTAAATTATGTGAAAAAGAAGCCATTTTAATGTGTTTTTTATATGGGTCTTTGCTTAGTGACTGTCTAAGAGTCAGACAAGTTGCATGTTACAGAGAGCTCCCACAGAACTTTGGCGATATATATAAAATGGTTGAATCCAAACCTATCATTTTATAACATTTTTTCTCATCAGCTCTATCAGTATTAGTTAGCCAGATTTAATTAAGTCAGCTGTTACTTTTTAGGTGAAGTTTGGTAATATAGTATCTACTTAGGTACTGCTTAAGTGGGGTTAACAGTGTCTGACACTTGGTTGAGCTTGACAGTTCAAAAGATGTCCGTTTTAAACTGGTATTTCTTGTAGAGCTAGGGGGCACTGTGGAGTAGTATCGTGGTTTGGCTAGCAGATGGAGATCAACTTGTAATTGAAGGCACAGGTCAGATGATGAAAGCGCCCAGATCCTGATTGTATGTGTAGCATATGTGTTTAAAATCTTAAAAGCTAAATTTCTAGTCCACAGAGCCCATCTCCTTTGTGCTTTTCTAAAGGTTCCCATAAGATATAAAAATAAATGGAGGGGCCCTGGCCAGTGTGGCTCAGTTCGTTGAAGCGTCCGTCCTCCTGAAACCAAAAGGTTGCTAGTTGGATTCCCAGTCAGGGCACATACCTGGGTTGAGGGTTTGATCCCTGCATTGGGCACAGAAGGCAATCAATTGATTATTCTCTCTCTCTCATTGATATTTCTCTCTCTCTCCCTTCCTCTCTCTAAAGGCAGTTTTTTAAAAAAAGTCTTCAGGTGAGGATAAAAAATTTTTAAGTGTGCATTTAACATAGGTGAATGTGTTTGTGGTAATTTGGTGTGATTTGTAGGTATTAAAGTGGAAATATTAAAGGTGAGTGAAACTGCAAGGTAATTAAGGAAGAGAAAACTTCCTGTAGACTTCAAGTTTTATAAAGTTGCTGTGAACTTTTATGATAATTTGCACTTAGAATTGTTGAGCTAGGGCACAGATACAAGTGTTTCTTAAAGTATACTATTTGCTGTTAATGAGGGGTTTTTAAAATAAGTATTTGTTCATTCAGTGTATTTTTGTCTTTAATAAATACAACTACTTCAAATATAAATAAAATGGCTAGTGGAAACTTTCAAGTTTTTAAAGATTATTTTATGTTCTCATTGCTGAACACAGTACAGTAATTACAGTGAAAACAATGTGTAAAGAACAATATCAACAAAATACCATTCTATTACTGCTTATACAAGATTCTTCAATATAGTGTACTTTAACATCACTATGTTTGTGTGTTTTAAAACTTACAGGTCTTTTATTCCCAAATTTGCAACCAAGGAAAATTTTAGGGCTTAGGTTAAACATCAGTGTCATGAATAATTGCACGCTTTTATTTTTAATGGACTCTTCTGTATCTCTTGTTCTGTATCATTCAAAAATAATATTTTCTACAGAGTTTGGGAGATCCAAGACTGTTTGCCTTTTAGGAAAAATTAATTAGATAAAAGAGATGTTCATTTTGGTTTAATCTGTCAAATAGGTGAATATTAAGAAATATCAGTGTGTCATAATCTGAAGCAGTATTCTCATGTTAGACCTCTAAATTTTGCACACAAAAGGGAAGGCAGGTACTGGTAGAATCCAGCTTTCTAATATAATAATTCATAAAAGCTTTGTAATATTGGTTTGTGGTTTATGAATTAGAGTAGCTAATTTTATAAAATTAGCATAATGGGAAATGAATAAAAGCATTTAGACTGTTAAATTATTTTAGGCAATAGTGGTTGCTAGTTTGCTATACTATAAGTGTCCTTGAGTCGGGTTTTCTTTTATAGTACTATACTAGCAAAGAACATTTTCCTTTAATTATATGGCGAATTTTTTTTGTATGTTAAATAAAATTTCAAAGAAGTCATTTGTGCCCTTAAACTTTTTTGTTTTCTGACTATTAAAGAAATATAGTCAATGTAGAAAATATATAAAGTATAGTACACACACGAAAACTTACATGTATAATTTCTTCACCAATAGGAATAAATTGTCCTTAACATTACAGCATATTTCCCTCTAGTCACTTTTTAATGCATTTTCCCACAGATGTGATCATATAATTATACTTATATAAATTGTATCTCTTTTTCGACTTAAAGCTTGAGCATTTTGCTTATTATATGTAACTTCATAAAACATTTTGAATAGCTTCAGTGTTCTACCTTTCAGATGAATCCCATTTTATTTAACAGTTTCCTTATTATTGAACATTAGTTTCTAGTATTGACTTACAATAAATGTCAGTGAATCATTTTTGTGTATATAACTCTTTGTCTGCATTTTAAATTTTTTCAGGGAGGAGGAATTGGGGTTAAATTCCTAGAAGGAAAATTACCCAGTGAGAAAGTTACTTTTATATTAAAGGGCAAAATGTTTTTTTATCCAATTTATCATGTTTATTGAGAAATTTTTAAGTATAGATAAATGAAGAGAATCACCCATAACATCACTATGCAGAGATTAACTATCATTAGCTATTTTCAGACCTTTGACAGGTCGTTGGTATTTCCTCAATACCATGCCTCTGTGTTCCTTAGCTAAAGAACATGTAAACATGGTTCATGGAATCTTAAAGATACTTCACAGAGGTTCTGAAAATTACCTTATTGAAATGTCACCTAGGTGCTGGCTACTTACCTAGCCTTAAGAGAACGTGGAATGCAAAACTGATAGCAAGAACATTCCGAACACTGCTTTTGTTCACTGAAAAGCTTTCTGTTTGCATTTGGGGGCTTTTATATTTAGGCATCACTCTTTACTATCTTAAAATGTTAAGTACTTTCAAAGCTTTCTAAAGAAAGTATCAAAATTACATTTTGGGGGCAACAGTAGAAACAAGCGAAGGGTATGTTATGCCCTGATTGCAATATTTCTTGAAGAAGAGGACTTATTTTTTAATGTAATTGAATTTTATATTTTTACTTTAAATTTTGACTCCTCTTTGTAACCTTGCTACTAATCTTGTGCTGTGAAGTAGTCTAGATTTCTGTACTGTGTGCAACAGAAGGATTTGCTACCAAATAATTTACTTGCCAATACTTGTATCTAGGCCTGCTTATGATCTTTGTTGAACTAAAGGTTGTACTTATTCTGGAATACATATACTTTATTCAGAATCGTTTTTTAGGTTTCTTGGCACCCAGGCAAGTAATATTTGGCAAATTATTTTGTTCAAAGTGCTCTGTTCTTTTTAGAGGAGTTGGGGGAGTCAAACATGCAAAATAAGCGTTGTGTAAATGTTGGTATCTGTAGAAATTTTAAACTTTAACAGAGTTTAATGTGTTCTGGTTTTAATTCCACTGGGAATTTCTATCTCAGTAGCAGGCAATTAAGAAAACATTTTTTTGGAAATACTGAAACTGGCCTGGGTTCATGAATTCACATGATGACCTTTGA